GCATCATTTCAAAGAATCAGAGAAGCTTTTGGGATGAGAGTTATGAACTGAAACTCTTGATCGAGTTCAGTTCAAGGGAGGGATTGTTGTGTAAGTTTTTAGTTTTTCCAATAAATACCTATTATTTAGGATAGAGCAGGTCAATTTCTGTTTTGCTATTTTTTTGCTATTAGTGGAGTTAGTGGAGCTAGTTGAGTCATGTCCTTTATTTTAGGATTTGCAGTTATTTACAGTTTTTATGTATTCCTTATAAAAAGGCATTGGAACCTATGAATAAAGCGATCAATTTTCTGGTGCAATTCACTTACAGGTAACAAATATCGTAAAATACAAAGAAAAAATTGAACTAAAATTGCAGAGCCTCAATATAGAGGACTCTTCCAAAAACTAGCGTATGCCGCTAATTGTGATGCTGACACAGTATTCTTTAGTAAAAGGCGAAAGAATAGTTCGCTATGTCATCATCACACAGCTCTGTTATTACAATAAGTAGATGTTCTTTCATTTTATATATGAAATCCTAATTTCTTTTATCCATTAGATGATTTGGGACTTTAATGTTAGATACCCACTCACTTGAGCATACCTTTTCCACATCTGAAGCCTTTCACTGGACAAATCTTTGGGAGACAACATAGCGTATGGAATTGTGAAGGACGAATCCAGGAAAAGCATATGACTGTATAAGTCCTAACCCAAAGCTTTACGATATAGTATCCTACAACATTCGTTCAAACATTGCCTTGAAAAGATATTTTGTTCTTATGACAACAATCAGCACAAAGACAATGGCTTCACAAATTTTAATAACTAAAGTATCCCAATCTAGCGATAATTGAATTTCAACACAAATATAGCACGTGAAAAAGAACTCACCTTGCAACAGAGAAGCTGTAGTGAGCTAAACAATCTATTCCATCTTTTATTTAAGTATTTCCTGATCAAAGTCTACCATGGCTTATATCATACAAAAGAATCATGTTGAAGACAAAGAGACTTAACCTTAGTGTGCTAATGAGAGTCAAGAGCTTGTGATTATTCTATTAGTGTAAAGCCACGTCTGCTTAGTGATTTGATTAGTATTTTCAAAGCCCAACAAACTTTCACTCTTATTGTCTCATTTCTAAAATGACAAGGAAACAGAAAAAAGTTAAAAGGATAAAATATCAAGCTAGAAGCCACAAATTTCAGCAGCATGCAGAATTATATCTCCCACGCTTCTGTCCTGGAAGTTGTTAGCATGCCAAATGAATAGAGCAAATAGCAATCAGATAAGAAATCATTATCATCTATAAATTAAACCAACAATGGTCTATAAAGTTATGCAATCATCTCAAGACTAACACATTTGCACAAACATACAGATATACATATAAAATATAAAGTAATCAATTCTCGCTAGGAATAGGAAATGGTAATTACCCTTTTATCTTTGACAGCAACCTGGTTTTTTCCTTAAGCGAGAATCTGGCGCATTAACCAAACTCTTGTTTGTGTGTACATAAGACTCCCATTGATGTCTTTGAACTCCAAATTCTGCCATCGCTTCTGTACCTAAAAAATGAAGCATGGTATAAACAGTAGTTGACCACTAGCTCAGTAATCAGCTATTCACAGCTCAATTGAAAGTGAACGCATAAAGATAATTTGGTACTCGTTTATTGGAATAAAAAATGCAGATATCAATGCATCAAACTACTTGTAAACAAATCATCATTGTTTAACTGAGTTCTGAGGTGAAAAAGTGTTGTTTAAAAAGCATGCAACTTATAATGAAAATCTCCATGTGATAACATAAATTCGGTTAAAGAAGTGTAATAGCTATTACTAACTACCACTGATTCATGTTGTTGCACTTGTCAAATACTTTTTCTTCCAAGAATGAGCATACATAAAGTAATAATGTTGCTCATAAATGATATAAAACCCCAAATGACTAAAATTGAAATTCCAAAATTGCATCTAGTATTTCCAAGACACCAATATAATTACACAAACATAAAAAATATACAATAAAAATCAAATCATCATTATGCACCACTCTTGTGATGTAAAAAGTGTTATTTATCAAGCATTTTTAACATAAATAAAACTAGAGTTACATCAAAAACTATTATGTTATCCCATATCGCTGAAGCCCAGAAAACCTTAAACATTTATATACCTCAGTATAAGCACTATACAACACGACCTTACTTGAACAGGATCTGTTCTATAGGATCGTACTACTGCGTCCTTGATTTCTAAGGAGACAGGAACGTAAGACTTTTGGATGGTAGGGTGGTCACATGTTGTTCCAGACTCAATCCACACTTATTTTTTTCGTCCAGAGCAGATGAACATTAACATTGTAACACCTTTTTGTCCATAATTGTGTTTAGATAAGTTAAAGAAAAAGTCAAATTTTTTGTACTATTACCATTTAATTTTAGGTGAATATTGGTATCATTAGTATTAATTGATATGTATAAAATTTTAAAAATAAAATAATATTAAAAAATGACGTGGTATTAAATATTTTTATCTTATTGAATATCAAAACCACGTCGCTTAAGTCAATTTATGACCTTTCAACGTTGAATAAAATTTAATTTTAATTATTTATGTATGATGACATATATTATGAATTATTTTTAGGAGAGAGTTTCGAAGAAAGAGATGAAGGTTGTTGTACATGGTAGCAAATTGATTGTATGGGTTCTGCATAGTCTCTTACCAGTGATTGAGTCAGGGGTATCTGCTTCTGGTCTATCCTTTCTGCAGAGAACTGGTTTATCGAGGATAGATTAGAACTTGGTATCTGCATTTGTTGAGAGGTGGCACTTCAAAACATCATCCTTCTATATGTTGTTTGGTGAGATGACTATTACGCTGGACGATTTATCTTGCCTACTTCATATACCATGCAGGGGGAGTTCTGTAACTCTGCAGAAGGGTTCACTGACTATGATGTTATTACTTAGGCTATTTGTCTGATGGGTGTTCTGTTGGACAAGGAAACTGAACAGATTTGTGCTTACAGTGGTCCCTATTATATGTTAGAGCGGGTGAAGAAGATATCTGTCCGTCAGCGAGTTGAGAGTTTATTTGATTGTGTAGCTAGAGTATATATGTTATTGTTACTAGGCTACAACATTCTTACTGATAAGACCTTTACTCTTGTAGAGGCAAAGTGTTTACCACTATTTGAGGACTTCTCTAGATGTGGTAGATACTGTTGGGGGGGAAATGCACTAGTCACACTTTACAGATATCTCAGAGATGCTTCCTTTTATAGATGCAAGTAGCTTGGGGGATATGTCTTTCATTTAGACGTGTATTAGCTTATTTATAATACCTTTAATTGATAATATTCATTTTGTGTAACAGTGTTGGATTCATGAGTATTTTCCAACTGTTGGCAATAAAGGATTTTCCAAGATTGCTGGTATTGGTAGTCCACTTCCTAGGGCGATGAAGTGGATGTACAAGTAAGACACGCAGAAGGTTGATGAGGTGGGGGTTGTGTTGGATGGATTGGCACTTGCTGATGTCATTTGGCGCCCTTTTCAGGATCACTGACAACACCGACCATTTGATGATATTTGCTTGTATTGTGGTGACCTGAAATGGTATGGTACAATTGTTCTTTATTTACCTGACAGATGTTTGCGTTAGTTTGGATACATGCAGTACATACCATATCTGCCTCCTGATGTTGATACACTTGATGTGGATATTTGAGTGGATTACATACCAAGCAAGCGTCATGGATGTGATTCGTTCGGCCGAGTTTGTTGATACTTCATATGATGCGGTGGCCAATTACTTGATTTGTACTATAGAGTGTCACATCCTCGTCTGGTACCACCACCTCGGGGGGAGGTCAGATAGGTTATAAAGGTCCTTGTTCCTGTGTTTGATACTGGACCATCAGATATGAGGTTGTTACATATTTCACATGAGCTTCGTTGTTATCTGTATCGTCACGAGGCAGAAGAAGATGAAGATGATTTTGCTGAGGTCTTTCGAGCACTACGTATAGCTGAGGGTGGACCGATACCTCAGGGCGGACCAGTAACTTATGTTAGCAAAGGCGATGATGCTTGATGTATTATTTTATATTCACACTTATGTAGTATTATTCAGACTTATATAGTATTCGTCATAATTATGTATTGCTCTATTATGATTTGTATTTATGTAGTATTATTCAGACTTATATTATGATTGATATTGCGTACGAAACATAGTCAACACAAACCAAAATATAACATGAAGTCAATCGTTAACACAAACCAAAAAATAACATGAAGTCAATCGTCAATCCAAAATATAAAAAATCAAATTACAATCATAACATAACATATTTTGGGACCACATGTGTAAGTTGTTGTCAATGTTGTAACCGTTCAGTAAATCCTGTTATCCAAGATGTTGCATTTTTTGTGTGATGCTTCTTCCAATCTACTATGACCGGTGGCAAGGGAAATCATTCATTCATGTTTACCTGTTAAGAAAATTAATAAGACATAAATCATAGATAAGTATTTAACATAAAAAGACTAAAAAGTTTACTTGAACCCAATGATTTGAGTTTACAAAACCAATGTAGTAAAAGGACACATTAGGATTATGTGAAGTCGTCATAGGAAGTAACTTAAACTAAGAGCACTTAATGAGACAAGAATGACATTATACCAATTTGCTATCACATAACTTATTTTTGGTAGTGTCATCCATTTATCTACTGGCTGGGAACCTAAAGATAATATCAACAAGGATTCTCTCACTTTTGTTAAGCGACTTTCAAATAACTACTCATATAGACTATTTATGGAACCTCTGGTTTCATTATTCAAATCACAATGAACCATTGACCAACCATCCTCACCGTATTCATGCAATGATGCAATGAATCTAAACCCACAATTTTCATCATCTTTAACATCAACAATGTCATCAATAAATGGTTTGATATGTTACCTATTAGATGGTTTTTTCTTTGACGTTTGGGATGACTACAAACACGGCCTCTTTGAAGATTTTTGAGAACTATTGTATGCTTGGTCAACATATCCCACAGGTTTCTTCCCTTTTATTTTTCCTTTAGTCTTTATTTTTTCAAGCGGCGGTACCATCTTTATTGTAGTGGGGCAAGCAATTTCACACGCCCTACCTTTTAGTTCTCTCTTTCCTACCACATCTAATGACCTGAGCCTTTTGCACAATGCATCAATTGCATTAGTCATGTCCACCTCTTCTCCATCCTCTGTATCTACCTCTTGTTCACCTTTCATTTTGAGCTTTCTCTAATGTATATAAATAACATCAATTGGTATTGATTCACCACTCAATGTGTATCTCCCTAACTCACAAGCACGAGGTAACTCGTATAACTTTCTATGACTACACCCACACATTTGGGTGTTTGTACCAACCATGTCAACTATGTGCCACTCTTCATCAATGTGTCTCAAAGATGCTCTAGATAATGATCCACACAAATTCACATAAAATGGACTAGTGTGTACACGCTCAACTTCATCAAAAATCTTCTGAAATGAAGCTCTAATATTGCTCAATTGCACTTTGATTTTCCCATTCACATCCTTCTAACATTTACACATATCACCTAAATTATTCTCCAACACCTGCTTCAGTTTCTAATGCGCAGACTCAACCCTAAAAAAATAAGGTTCAGTATCATTAATATTAAGATAAATAAACTATGGCTAAAATCAAACACTTTATCTGTTAACTGTGATGTTACCCAAATGCAACAATTTATTGATCCAAGCTTCAAAAAATCTATGTTTGTGAGGCGTCAACCATGTGTCTATCACATAATCAAAAAATGGTCTAAAATCCACGCAAGCATCTTAAAGTTGTTGCAACTTTTGATGTTACTTCACCTCAACATTAGCCCTTACAAATTCATGTCATATCTTCTCTATCGACTCTCTCATATCATTCACAACAAACTCCTTGCACTTTGCTTTCACATTCTTGTTGATGTGAAATTGACAAAGTATATTAATTGTCGTTGGAAACACTTTTTCAATTGCTTTCATCAAAGTAAGATCTCTATTCGTTAAAATCACCTGTGGCCATAACCCTTGCCTAGTGAATAATTGTTTCAACTTATCTAATACCCAACATAAAGTCTCTATTTGTTCAGATTCCATAAAGGCAAATGCAACAACAAATGTTAACTCAGTTGATTTCATACCAACTACTTCAAACAAAGGTTGTCTGTACTTATTTATTTTGTAAGCATTATCTATAATAAACACAATAGGAAATATGTTCAACAACTTCACTGATTTTGGATGCGCCCAGAAGATATCTCTCACAACTTCAGACTCATTTTTTCCTACTCCAATAAACATAATCAGAATCCTTTATCAACTTAAACAACTATTGCATTTCCGTTCTAGGTCCCCTTATGTTTTTCTAAATCTTACTCTTATGTTTTTATATATTTGAGTTATTCGAGTCACATTCTTCGGATCTCGTTCTTGCAATGACAATAATATGTGTCATGGTAGAACATGACGTTTTGACAAATCAACAATATGTTGTTGGTCATCAGCATTAAGTCGACTTACAAACGCATGACCTTCAAATCTATCAGGTAAACCATGACTGTGAAGTCCACATTTTTCGTCAATATTCCAACCAGAATCATCTTTAGAAGGTGTTAACCTAACTTTGAGTGGATAATAACATTTCTTGATAGCACTTTGTGTTTCACTGTCTCCTTCTTTGAATTTTCCACCTCTATCACAACCAAATATAACTTCGTCACTTCTTCCTCTCTTACCAGTTTTGATGTCCGAACGAGTTATTATAACAGTGACTCTACTTCTGATTCCAACCTCCCTAATTCACCTAGTCGCCTCTTCTCGTGTAGCAAATTTTTCTGTAGTCGAGAATATCTCCGTCCTATTTACAAATGTTTGGTTTTTGTCGCATATCATCAAAGAAATGCCCATGTCTCCTAACATAAGTAACAAAAATTAATTAAAAAAATACAAAAATCATGTTCTGAAACTCTTATGGGTATGTCATCCGGTTCTTAAAAGATACAAACCGGACCACTTGTGGCAATGTTATCTGAAATAGGCGAGGAGGACAGCTTGGCCTTCCGAAAGCTGGTGGACTTCGTCGGTCGTCTTCCTCCTCGGAAGTGCGTGTCCCCCGATGGGGAGTATATCCGCGATGCATGAGGGAAGATACGGACGGAGGCCTGGTGTATTAACATAAAGGCACTGCTTGAATGTAGGACGGAGGCTGAGACTCATTGGCTTCTAGGTAGTTTGGGTGCATCCGGGCTGATCTTGTAACTTGTTTTTGATTCTTTTTTCTAACTAATTTTCTTGTGTTTTCTTGCAGGCACAATGGGCTCCGTGGAGGAAAGAGTGACGAAGCTGGTGAACAGGGGTAGCCGTCGTGCTCAAGGTCAGGCGTCCGCTGCTCGGAGGGAGCTGGTCGTTACTTCTTCAGGGATGACATCTTCCCCCCATGGAACTGGCTCCTCGACGCAGCCCCTGGCTCCAAAGAGACGACATGAGATTGAGGTGCCTTCGATCGATCTCACAGACGGGTCCCCGGAGCGTGGGTTTGTTCTGCCGCCCTGCTGCCTTCGGCCGAATTTCTTTTCGCGGAGGAACGATTCCGGGGTGGCCTCAGAGGAGGCTAAAAGCATACTGGCCACAGGCAAGGAGACCCGGAGGAAGATGTTGTTCGCGGACCTGTCCGCGATGGTGAGGGTCTTTGAGATGACCCTCGTGCTGAATGAGGAGGGTTGCTCTTCGGAGGATTTGGCTGTTGTCAAAAGCAACCTCGCGGCGTCTGAGGAGATCCGGTCCAAGCTGGAGGACGACCAGAAGGAATACCAGAAGCATGATAAGCTCCACCAGGAGCGTATTGAGGAGTTGGAGAAAGCCCTGAAGGAAAGAGATGATGAGCTGAAGGGGGTCAGAGGTCGTGTTACTGAGCTCGAGGATATGGTCGCCCCGACCGAGGAGGAATCTGAAGAGGAGCGTTTATTGGTGTCTCGGCGGGATCTTGTGGGCAGGGTTCGTCAGCTAGAGGAAGACTGCCTGGGAGCCGTCGAGGTAGGCTTCAAGCATGCTGTCGACCAACTCAGGCTTGTCAACTCTGATCTGGTGACCGACGGGGTTGGTCCCTTCCATCAAATCCAGGAAGGTCGGATCGTTGCGCCCGGTGGCTCGGATGGCGATGACGAATATCATGCTGCCCATGAGGAGGAGGATCACTTAGAGTATGGATGTCGGCCTGCGTGCCCCTTATTTTTCATTTGGCCTGCGTGCCAAGTAATTTTCGTCCTACGTGCCATGTTAGAATAAGCCTTGACTTTTTCTCGAGTTGAAGGCTTTTTATTGTAACGTTTTGACTGCTGGGCTTGTGCCCGTTTTATGGGATTTTTGCTTTTCCTTCTGAGTTTGTGTGTGTGCTCGGCCATTCATGTATGCATGATTTATATTTTTGTTTGTTTTGTATGTTTGCTCGCACGTTTGTTATGCTTGTTTTGTATGTTTGCTAAGGTGGGAGTGGTAGCTCGACGTCCGTTGTACCCGGTAGTGTAGGGAACTGGTCGGTTGACCAGGGTGGTTACCTGGTCAATATGGGGATGGACCACGATCGTGGACTCGTTCCTGCAACGTGAATGTTCCATTGCGAGCTGGGTGTTCTGTCGGTCTGGGTACTGCAGCGGTGAATCTCGGTCGAGGGGTTGCCGTCAAGCAGCGCATTCTGCCCGCACACACAAAGGGCAAATGCTTGTTATCTCGTTAATTCCGAGGAGACGCGGTCGTACCACGTCGCTCTCCTGTGGTCGCGAGGGATGTCGTCGCGGACAGTGTTTAACTATAATATTTTTCTAGCTTCTCAGCGTTCCATGGTCGAGCTATCTAGTCTTCATGTAGATTTTCCAAGTAGTAGGACCTATGCTCCATTTTGTCCCGGACACGATAGGGGACTTCCCAATTCGCGGCGAGTTTGCCCTCGTGTGGGTCCTTTTGGTTTCTTCACAAGACCAGGTCGCCGACCTGGAATTCGCGCTTCAGGACTTTGTTGTCGTAGCGGAGGGCGACTTTTTGTTTCAGCGTGGCCTCGCGGAGAGCTGCTCCCGATATGATCTCTTCGACCGGGTCGACCTCCTTCCGGAGAGCCTCGTCGTTGGATTCATCCCCGAGGGGAGATTCGGTCCTTCTGGACGACTCCCTTATTTCCATCGGGATCACAACCTCAGTTCTGTACGTGAGTCAAAATGGGGTTTCCCCGGTGGTCGAATGAGGCGTTGTTCGGTAGGCCCGGAGCACGTTGTGAAACTCCTCGACTTATCCTTTCTTAGCGTCGCCGAGTCTTCGTTTTAGTCCTCAGAGAATCACTTTGTTCACGGTCTCGACTTGGTCGTTCGTTTGTGGATGCTTGACCGAAGTGAAATGGTGTTTGGTCCCGAGTTTGGTGACGAAGATTCAAAAAAATTTGTCAGTGAACTATGTCCCGTTGTCGGTGACTATGGCGAGCGGGACGCCGAACCTGGCGAGGATGTTCCTCTTGTAGAAACAGAGTATGTTGTGCGTCGTGATCTTGGCGAGGGCTTCGACCTCGATCCATTTGGTGAAGTAGTCGATGCCCAATATCAGGTACTTGTTCTGATAGGAGCCTAAGGTGAACGGGCCAAGAATATCCATCCCCCACTAGGAGAACGGCTAAGGGGAGGAAAGGGACTTGAGCTCGCTCGGAGGGGCGAGGTGCATGTCCCCGTGGCGCTGGCACCTGTTCCACTTCTTGAGATGTTCCTTTGCATCTTCTTGCATCGTCGGCTAGTAGTATCCATCCCGTAAGGCTTTCCTCGCCAATGATCATCCACCGAGGTGTTGCATGTTGATGCCTTCGTGGAACTCTTGCAGGATGGTCGAGACTTGGGTTATGTCGACGCATTTGAGGAGAGGAACCGAGAAACCCCTTCGGTATAGTTTGTTCTTAAGCAGAACATACGAGCAGGATCGCCGTTTGACTGCACTGGCCTCCTTAGCATCGTCGGGGAGGCGCCCCATGCTGAGGTAGGCGTGTATTGGGGTCGTCCAACAATCGGTATCCCCGATGGCGTTGACGTCGAGCAGTGTTTTCGCCATCTTCGTGCTTGGTTGGGCGAGGATCTTCTGGGTGATGGATTTGTGTCCGCCTTTCTTTTTGGTGCTCGCCAACTTTGAGAGGATGTCTGCCCGGGTGTTCTGCTCGTGAGACACGTGTTATACTTCTGCGG